GTTCACTGAAGATTGATAAATCTTACAACAAAGTACGTGCATGTTACGATACCAACGGAGAACTCACGGTTTTGTGCTGATCTTATCGGTAGACTACAAGGGTCTGCAAATTGAAGTTATTACCGAAACGTTTTAATCTCGAGAGAATGTACTCGTTCAAGGAGGTTTCTTGAGCTGAAAATCTTGAAAAATCGCAAAAATGAAAATGGAAGCGTTAAATCTACGAAACAGATTTTCCACGTATCGAAATAATCGAAATTTATATTTTTTCACAAGTGTATAAGTTTTACCGAGATGTTAGTTTATTGTTCCTGTTTCCTTTTTGTTTTCAATTTATACAAGATTCTTAAACCGTAAAAGCATGCTTGTATGTCAGTCTCGAGGTCGAACTGACGTGTCGAGCGAACATTCTGAATGCATTATGTGTCGTTTGTGGTGGTTTCCGGTTTGCGAGAAGAAAGGATATGATGGCGTAAAGATCTCGTCCTTTTTATCTATGATGTTTTTTATCCTTGAACGTTTAGCCTTCTTTCGTTGCAAGACCTGGAATGATGTAATCTGTATGTATTTAGGCTCTTTTTTTCCTCCTTTTTTGAAATATTTTTCATAAAGAACAAGTCAACAACGCAGCTGCATACATAGAAACCGATAAGTTAGCATTTCCTAACCACGAAAATCAACTTAGTTTAATTAGTGTCTTTAATCGTATTAGGAGGGAATTTTTTCTTTTCTCTCTCTCTCTCTCTCTCATTTAAGAGTTTTATATTTAACGCCGAGAAATACTATTAGAACAAAATAGAAATTATTAGACCCGAGCACTCGTTACAAGAGATATAATGAGATCATTTTACCTATCCTCGACTTCACCATTTGCAGAAAAGTGACGCGATGCTAGCTCGTATGCTTTACAATTACACCGCTGATATACCATCAGAGATCACATCATATGTCGGTAAACGTGATTTGTATGCATCACCTTTTTAATAACATTGTACTACACCCTTGAGTGCAACTTTTTCAAAAAGATCGTACAGCGTGTTAAATATACCTTGTTACCACTGTAAAATCACTCGACAGTGTACGAGTAAAAACTTCGTATTTATATTGTGATAGACTAGTCGATATCCAAAGCAAATGTATATAAATTATCTATAAAGTGACTAAATCGCGTAGAGAATAACCTTGAACATGACACTGCATTTTTCTTCGAATTCCTTAGTCTTGGAATGAAGAATGATTTATCTTTAGTAAATCGAAACAAGTCTATTGCAATATTCATGACGGGTTGAAAGTTTCAAATGTTTAACGATGCGATACACATGTTCGAATGGATTATGCACGTCGAATTATGTAATGCGCATCGCGATAAATATCTAGTGGCTAATCCATTAAGATACAGATCCAAAGTTCCGGGAGCATCGGTAAAAAGGTGCAACGTATCAACGGCGCAACATAACCTATCTTTTCGTTAAAAACACGTTTGACCGGAATTCAGTGTAGATCACCTAAATCTATTTTAAACTTTTTAGGAATTATAAGTGTATATTTCTAAACGCAAATAAACGTATTAATTACGTTGGTTATGCAACTCGTTAAGGAACGATAGGCAATATATGCATGCCACATTCTACACAAGAAAGAAAAATGTTAGATATGTTAAATATATATTAAAAAATTAAATATTAAATATTAAATAAACAATGTATTTGCACGATTTATTTTATTACTTTCATAGACTTTTTAATTTGTTTACATATGCGATATGATACTTGAAATTAATTCTTTTTTTTAATGATAAAGCATATTTTTGGAATAAAATATGATACCATTGTGGGATATTAAGCTTTTTGAATTTGAACTTAGGATCCTTCACAAATAATTAGAGGGTACCATGATGGTGACTGTCCCTTGTGCGGAAGTGGTAGATTCCACGCGTTGTTGGTTTTATTAGGCCTTCCGGTGTGCGTGCCGCGCTTAAGTTACTTCGGTGTTAACATCAGGGTGACTATATGGTTAATGCTTGTCGTTCTGCGTTTTGTACATTCTTTCCCACATTTATAAACAAAGCAAAACATTTTCGCATGTTTGGCTGATTTAAACGAATTCTACAGAAACTATTACATTCTTTTTAAGCTCTTGAGATTCGTGGAAGACGCGGAATGTGTGAATTGAATTATATTTTTTCAAGCCGTAGGAACGTTTACGATGGTTGCTACCTACCGACTGTCGGTAACCAAATATTTATCGTTACATTGTTTAAAATTTGGATGTGCATCAATTACTGAATTAAATTATACGATAATTTAATAAGTTTTTCTCGCTTTTATAGTTACTATGTTGTTCAACAAATTTGACGACATATTCGCATATTACAAAGAGATTTTCGTATATCTATCTTAAAAGAAATTCAAAAAACACTATAAATGGGATAAGTTCTCAACATAAATACCATAATAGATGTATATGCATTAGATCGATATGGTAGAAATTCAACGCTTAGCCTTTTTCTTCAAAATGCAAACAGAGACAGCAGATATCTGTATTGTAATTAGATATTCCAATTTATTTGATAAGATGATCGTGCATCGAAAGATAGAGAGTAACTTTTTGTATCGTCTTGGCCTCTGCAACTATTTGTCTGTTTAAAAATATTATTTATTTTTAAAATTGCAAGTTCTTTCTAACCTAACCCGATTTAAAAAATGGCGCGAAATCTTTCCCGCGTAAACTGCGGCTCTAAACGCCCCGACGCCAATACGTTAAGACGAAATGTGAAAGAGCGTGAAGATTGAGTCTTGTCTGATTGACTATGTAAGAGAATAGGTAAACACTGATCATTATCTACTTCTGTATTTGAAAGATGGGAATGAGCCGAGTGTTTAACTCGACAATTGTCGACCGACAAGCGAATAAACGCGGTCCATGCAAAGCTTACAAATGACGTTGGTGACGACCAAGCATATTGCTTCGTTCATATACGTGCATTTTGAGGTTACATGTAAAAGAGAAGTTAAAAGAAATTATTAAACTTTCTGTTATCGTATATACTAATAATAACATACACTAAGTATTATTGTGCTTTAAATTCTTTTTGACTATTGCTACAGAATTTATAGTAGTTTTTCCTACTATATGTTAATTATCATAGACACAAGTACGTCTGAGACGCAATTTGTATATATACGTAGTTCAATCATAGAGTGTAAAAAGAAGCAAAGTATTTATTTATTTCATTAAGATAAATATTTGACTTGCTTGAAAAAAAAAATGCATAACATAATTAAATAATGCATGCAATAATGACCTGGCGGGACATAAAGGTTATCTATATCTCTTTCACTTCGTGCTAAAATAATAATATTTTTTTCAGCGAATTCACAATATGTACCGAGTAAAGGTCACTATACACGAAATAGTATCAATATTGTGACTTTGAGGACATGACTCAAGCGTACACCTTTATCATCGTTTATACTGCTTCTAAACATATTTATAGCGTGTTTAACTGTCTTCATAATACAGTCGATACCGATGCAATGCGAGTTTGGTGTTCTTCTATTAGAAAATTGCAAATATTTGAAAAGCTGTTAGAAGAAGAACAAATATTTCGAAAAGTACAAGTTTTGTAAATTGATAAAAATTGGAAGATATTACACGGTTTGCGAGTATGTAACATATATTTTAATTTATATAAATACTCGAAGAAAATGGACAGTCTTTCCGTTATGAAATTCATTATATGATGACATTTATTTATTCTAGGAAGAGTCTCGAAATCTGCCTTTGGTAACATTAACCCTTTGCATTCGATCGACAAATCGATCGATGATTTCAAACAGACTTTTGAAGTAAAAGATATTTCGAAATTAAAAATTTGGTTTCTTGGAGAAAGAAGAATAAGAAGCATCTGTGGATGCCTTTCTAAAGTAGTTTTACTCGCGTTTTTCATTTTTCTTGATGAACACAAAATCAAATAATAAATTGCAAATTGATAATGTGGCCGTGATGGCACTAGTAGTATGCATAGGGTTAATTAATTTTTATTAAGATGAAGACGTAATTAATATTCCGTATTTTTAACTACCCATGCTGTACTTAGATACACATTACACATCGGTAATTCTAGCATTAATTAAGATATACACCACATTCGCTTCTAAGCATAAATAAATACGTTAAGAAGTATTCATTTTTCAGGTACATAAGGTAATCAAAATTTCATTGATTTTCGAAAAAGAGCGATCAGGTCTCGAACGATTAACACATATTGTATAAATAGAAACTGTCGTCACACGTTTCGCAAAAATATAGTATGTTAAGAGGAAATATGGAAATGAGTTGTCTTAATATTTCAAGCAGATTATTCAATGGATATTCTTATGAAATTCACGATAGTCTACAATCTCGTTTTGCTCATAATATAACTGTTTTCCATTTCGTTTTTTATTTTTTAAGAAGATAGTACAATATTGAAAAATCTCGAAGCAATCTTCAGAGTATGAGAAGAATTATTGGGAACAACGTCGATTTAATTATCGAGCATCATACTTCATTGAACCATAAGCAAAACCTAGAACTAATGGTAAAGTACAGAGAATAACGCCCTACTTTCTGTTTGGACGTCTCTTTGATACTAGAATTACCGACCTATAATATTTATAGCATATAAAAATCATAATGACTAAACTGATATAATGAAGCCAAACAAGTATATATAATAATGTCCCCGTTATATCCCCAATAATTAGAAGAACAAAGAGTCAAAGAAATTGCGAAAATCAGCTAATATTTTCAGGAATTTATTATTAAGTTGTAAAAATTATTTGAAGGTAACTCTATAGTATAAAACATAAGTTCATCATAGGAGAAAGGAAGGGAATAAGATAGTATTGAAATTAATGTTTATTAATATTTTTGTTAGTAATAATTTTCTTCTCTTTTTTCCATTATGATACTCGAGTTTGAATAACCGAAGAGTAACGTGTAGTCTTTGGTTTCAGATGAACCACGTTCAAGATGCAGATCATGGGATGACGTAGGACCGACTAAAATGGAAACTGTCGGTCAAACGCACAGACAGCACCATCCCTCGTTGGAGGCAACTAGGTCTAACACCTCGACACAGTCGGCTAGAAGCGAGGACTCTTGGTGCTCAGCGTCAGATCATGATCTTTCCTCGGACGACGAGAGCGAGAAGAGTAATATCAGTATTAAGTAAGCACCATGTAGATCCATGGAACAAATTTCGGTGATAGATTATGGTGGTAGCCATGAGTTTTTGAAGACATTTGTTTTATTGCACTACTTAAAATGGCACAATCTCGTGGTACCTAAGGAAAGGTATTCAAGTATTTTATAATACTCAAATATCTCCTTCTAATACCCTAAGAAAGAAAGAAAGGCTTTGACTGTTACACTTATTCATTGTGTTATAAAACTCGAGGAAGAAAGTTGATGATTTGAATTATATGATAAGAGCAATTGTTGTTGGATTAGCGAATCAGTCATCTGTGTCTTCTTCTTCCCACAGTGACATCCTCCTGAGGGCGTATATAATTAATCGAAACGATTGTTAATTCTCTATAGAAGTAATTGCCAATTGAGGAATACGTTGCACAAAGCAAGGACACTGTGCGACAAGTGGAGGCCGCAAAATATGCGAGTGAACAATGCCGACGCATTGGATTCACCTGGAAACCATGGAAGACTATCTAGATGGTTCAGCATCCGGAGAGGATCGACACAACAATACGATGTGGATTCTTCCGACACGATGTCACTTACCAGCCCCATCAAAACTCCACAAATGCCACAACTTTGCGAAGTAATAGTTCAAAAGACTATTTTTATACTTTAATAATAATAATTTTTTCCTCTTTCGTTTTCGTTCATCCATGATACTTCTCATTGTAAAAGATGTTAACGATATAAAATAAAACTTGGAAAAAGAGACTAAAGGCTTTCCGTCTTTGTTGTTAGGAACTATTTTATTATCTGTATAAATTGATATTTTATTTAAATATATTAATTTCAGGTTGAAGAGGAGAATAGTGCAATGGTGCAATTTCAGTGCATGCAGCAACGCAGACAAACGCCACCCACTCTTCCGCCGACACCTCCGAATTTAACTCCTCAACAGCTAAAACGTCGACACATAGTAGCCGCTATAGTACATTCTGAAAACAGTTATGTATCCACGTTACAGAGGCTAGTGAACGTACGTATTACCTCGAATCCTGCTACATAAAATTTATTCAAGGAATTTAATTTAAAAGTATATTTTTCGTTTCAGGATTACAAGAAACCATTGGAGGAATCTTCCCCACCCATATTGAGCCAGGCTAAAATAGCGACATTGTTTCATAGATTGCCTGAAATTTTGCAATGCCATACGTTATTTAGAATTGCATTAGCGGAATGCGTACGTTCATGGGACAAGGACGAAAAGTTAGGAGACGTGTTTGTAGCAAGTTTCAGCAAAGCTATAGTTCTTGACATTTATAGTGGATTTATCAATAATTTTTCAGTAGCTATGGATTTGGCTAAGCAGGAATCAAAGAGAAAGACTGCGCTTGCCGATTTTTTCAAGGTATGGTCCAGTAACAAAAAAGCATTGTTATAAAATATTGTATATTATTATAAAGTAATATAATATTTATAAAAATTATTATAATTATTTCAGGTAAAACAAATAAGCGCACATGATAGATTGTCTTTCTTCGGATTAATGGTAAAACCTGTTCAGAGGTTTCCACAATTTATACTATTTTTACAAGTGAGTATTTTTTAATTTTATTTGTTGCTTACACTAGCATGATTTTTTAAACTCTTTTGTTAGGATTTATTAAAACATACACCGCAAGGTCATCATGATAGAATGTCGTTGCAATTGGCATTAACTCAATTAGAGAGTTTAGCAGAAATGTTGAATGAGAGGAAACGCGAAGCAGAACAATTTCAAGCATTTAAAGAAATGCTTCGACATGTATCTGGAAAATTATCCCATCGTCCCCTTTCGTCTTCATCTAGATATCTTATAAGAGAAGATAACGTTACACAGTTGGTAAGTGTACCTCCTCAATCAAATTTAAAATATTTTAATATATTTCTTTTTAGTAAAGTTAGTAAATTATTTTAGGAATTTAACCAAAATGGTATGATAACAAAATCCAAAAGAAGAAGATTATTATTATTAAATGATCTCGTAGTGTGCGTTTCAGTGACTCCAAGATCCGCAGAAGATTTTAGCGGAAGTGAGAGATTAACTTTAAAATGGACGTATCCTGTATCAGATATCGAGGTATAAGAACTATTAATATTTACTGTATTTAATAAACAAATTTAAAAATTAATAAAATAAATTTTTTACAATAAGTATTATTAATAATGGTAGTAGTAACAATATTACATTACACTACAGATTCAAGATACAAGCACTTCACCGACATTGAGTCGTTTACTTACTGCTGGCTTAAATAAGGGTGGTAGCCTAAAATCTGACAAAAGTGGGGAATGCGGACAAGTGGGTGCAGATAATTTATGCGTAGAAATGAATGATTTAATGCATGATTATGAGGTCATGTCTAGAATAAGTGATTTAGTTGCACAATTAAAGGGTAAATACGAGGTAAGTAAAAATTTACGAATTGCGATTATTTTAATTGTTTGTGCTTGATTTTATATGTGTACAAATAAAAATGTTTTGAATTTAAAGGGAATGACACTTGAAAAAACTAAGCAAATTTTGCAATCCATACAACTTTCAATACAACAGAAGGATGAAGATATGGTTTGGGCAGACAGTTGTTGCTTGCAATTGGTGACAAAACAAGGACAGATGTATACGTTCCAAACTGAAAATCCTTTGGTGAAAAAGGATTGGATAACAGAACTTAGATTAGCACAACTAGCCTTAGATCCGAATAATTCACCATCTTGGGAAGTACCTGAACAAGAACAAAGACCATCTACTAAAATGCCGCTTTTTGTTAGTTCTCAACAAGTATATCATTCGCAACATCAGACAGAAGTAAGATATTTGCTGTTATAAAATATTGTTTATTAATTACTTTTAGGATTGACCAACAATAATTGATAATACAAAAATGTTTTTCAGGTACGTTGCGGCTGTTATTATATTACACAAAATCTACGTCCCACGAGGCGCCGTGGCAGAAGTCAATGTTATTTATGGATATGTACGGGGGACGGTATATCCAGTCACGTAACAGTATTTGGCCAATCAACAACAGCTTCGGCAACTTCCTTAAAACAGGCTACAGCTTTTGATTTGGTAGAAACTAAAGTTGCTGCGATAGAATTTGTAAAGGGTGTTTCTTCGGATTCACTGTCATTAGCGAGCGATCTCGTGTGGATGGGTACGGATTCTCGTAAAATTATAATCTACGCCGCTTCGGAACCTGAAAAACAAGAAGAACTAGGAAATTATTCTGTCTCGGGTCCAGTAATACAAATTAAGTATCATTGCGATAATGTTTTCGTTGCCCTAGGAATTGGCTTACTCCTTCTCTTCAAAAGACAAGTGGACGGCACTTGGAACCTTAGAGAACCATTTGTGATAACTCTAGGCAGCGAATCTGTATCATGCTTGATGCCAATTAACGCATCTGTCTATGCTGCTTGTGGCAAAAAAGTTTGGGTACTTAATGCAATCAGTGGCGAAGTCACGAAAAGTTTTAGTGCACAACACGAACATGTAGGCAGCGTAAAACTCATGGCTCATTCTGGAGTCGGTCTCTGGGTTGCTCTAAAAAATTCAAGCACTGTCTGCTTGTATCATACAGAAACTTTTAAACACTTGCAAGATATCAACATAGCATCCAATGTTTTGAGAGTGACTAGATCAAATAATGCCTCGAGTTCTTGTGGTGACAACGTAAACAACAATCAAACTACTGTTACAGTAACAGCACTTTTAGCATGCAAGGGCCTTCTGTGGGTGGGTACAAATGTAGGTATCAGTCTAACAATTCCTCTGCCCCGATTGGAAGGTGTACCTATCATCAGTGGTCGCGTTAATATTTCTTACCACGCACATTTTGGTCCTATCACCTTTTTACTAGCTATTCAAAATCCGAAGAATACAATAAATTGTACAACTGATGAAATTAATGACGAAGAAAATGTACAATTGAGGCCAAAGGAATCGGATGCTGCTAGAAACAGAGATCGAGCAAGTTTGGATTCTACTATGTCAAACAGTATATTGAAGTTGAAACAACAATTAGCGGGCAGTCCAGTAATGCTAAGACGGAAACGTAGCAAAGAGTATGAATATAGAGGTTCGAAAACGCTTCCTAGAGGACTTGGTTCTGGTGGAGGATTCCTTTCAAGCTCAATGTCCGGATCGCAGAGTTCTGGGGAGAATTGCGATGTCTACGGTTTGTATGGAGAATTAATGTACGTAAAAGATTACGAAAATGAAAATAGCTCTGGTATCGATTTAATTTATGAACCGTTGAGAAGAAGCGATCCAGAACTGGCAGCCATACCAAATAAAGTTAGTACCTTAGACCGAAGATTAAAGATGAAAATCACCAGGCCTAGGTCACTCGATCTATCGAATTGGTCGGTCGATTCTCACGCAAGTTCTCTGTACACATCTTCTGGCTCTGAAGAGAATCTCTCATTGAAAACTGGCAAATTGTCCCGAAACAGTAGTTCAGCTAGTCGAAATGGTCCCTACGAAACGACTACTCTCAACAGTAGTATAGGACAGTCTGTAACAGAAACAATACCATCATCCAACAATATAAAATCTAATGGTAAAAAAATCAACAAGACATCGCAGCAAGTTGAACAGCCTAAACGAACCGTTTTAACGCTAATGGGTGGTCAAGGTTATATAAATTGGAGACAACTAAACACGCAATCCGTTGGCGACAAAGCTTCTAAATCCGGTTACACTTTTAAAGATCCCAATACTAATGATGCTCATATCGTGTTATGGGAAATGAAATTATGATACTCAGTCACGCTAGGACTGTCGTTACGCCAGTATGGATAGAAATGGTAAAATGCTTTTAATGGCCGATGGCGAGCTTTGTAGTATCGGCAAATAGGACCAAAAAAAAAAGAAACTGTTGTCGAACTGATATCCACTTAATTAATAAGGATATTCGGTAAAGATTCGTTAATTAACTAGCACAGTTTTAAGTTAGTTGCTATGGGTGTTCAAAGAAAATGTTTTTGAAACTATGTTTAAAACGATATTTAACATTTTCAAATGTTCTTATTGTTTACAGTGCAAAGGTTTAGTTTTTGTGTAGCTCTCTAAAAGGAAAAAACAGAAATCTCGTATTTTATTACATATGCTTCCATCCTTTAAAACAGTAAAAATATAAGATTTTTACTGTAGACTGAGTTTATTGTGTACACTCGTATAGTTTTACTTTTTTCTTTCTTTCTTTTTTTCTCAAGGAATAAGGGAAAGGCAAATAGAACAAGAAAAATTGCATATATATGTATGGCTATAAAAAATCATAAGACGATTAAATATTGATCTAAAAATACTGATATACGGGTGTGTGCGTTATTGGAAGAAAGAATTAATCGTCGAACATGTATTTTAAGAAATATTATTATTCCTATAGTTACATACAAAACTAACTTGAAACAGTGGTATTCTTATAACAATAATAAAACTTACAAAAGATTATTCATGAATTAATTTGAAATCTAATAATTAACATGGTAAAAGAAAATAAACATAATAGTGAATACCACTGATTTGAAATTCCACTTTTCGAGTTTTCGTTACTCGTTAGTAATCATGTGATGTACACATGAATTTGTAAGATATATGGATACAAAACGTTATCTTACGCTTTATACGCAGGACGTTTCGCGTCATGGGAAAAGTCGATAGAATTTTTAAGTGTTTCTAGTGTTTCATTTCGAATCTTGTAAATGATAGTTTGGGAACTTCCAGTTTTGTAAACGGGGCGAAATAAAGAGCACAGAGCAGCGCCTGTGATTTATTCTTTCCGATACATTAACTGCGCTTAGCACACGAAGAATCTTTAATAATATTAAATATTTTTTGTAAAGTTTTTTTTACTTGTGTACAGTAAAAAAAAAGTTATAAATATCATAAAAAAACATAAAATTTAAATACTTACGGAACGCGTTTACTTTCTTTAATCGATGGAATAAAAATAAAAATAAAAATAAATTTGAATTTTGGTTTTGACGTAAAAAAAATATCACGTATTGCTGTTAATTTTTATTAGATGATGATAGATGATATAAATCATTCGGTATATTTAAAAGGGTGCTTAAAGTATTTTATATTTTTTATAAGTATCAATACGTTGAACATTTTTGATATATATTTTACTGCCAAATAAAAGTTTCTCAAAAGAAAAAAATATGAATGAAAAAATGTTTTGAGTAAAACAAAATTTAGTGATCGATGGCGTATGTTATTTGTTCTCTATTTGTGATAGATCGATCAGGGAAAAGGGTTAGAAAATGGAAAAAATTTTATATCAGTTACCCAGTGAGAGAAATATATCGTAATTTTGCCGCAAATGTGCTGTTAAGTTTTTCGCTACCGGCATGAACGATCAGGTCTGTGTGTACATACATATTTTCCGAGGAAATTAATTTTTATATTACAAATGAATCCTGGATAGATTTATATTTTGTACACTATTTTTTTTTTTGTTCGGTTTATATATATATATATATATGTGTGTGTGTGTGTGTGCGTGTGTGTGTGTGTATGCAATCTTATTTTGTATTTATACGAATGATACATAACGTAAAATTTATTCAGCAATACTTTGTTACATACGTACACGCACACATACACACATAGATGCGCGCGCGCACATATTTATTGCTTAACAGTCGTAACGTTGTATCATTGTTATGTACGAAACTGAAAATTTTGTTACGTTAGCGTTCAGAAAGGCTATACGATTCAATAATTTTCACTCTTTGTATTTCTATATTGCTGAATATTATAATTATTTAAAAATGAATATGAAATTACTTATCCTTTCCACTTATTACTTTTAATTATTTAAATAATCTCATAATTAAATAACAATGTTTTTAATTGTTAAATTAATATTACATAGTGTAGGATTTTTTGAAGCATAACTATGTATAATATTGGTTTTCAGGTATATAGTTTATTCTTTGTACAATATTACGATATGTTTACATTGCAGTATAACGCACAAATAATTTTTTTATTTCTAAATAAAATTCTATTATAACGCTTCGAACATTTCTCAATACCGAAAATGAATTTACACTTTTTTTTATTCTGGTGTTAATGGTACCCACTACGATATGCATGAATAAGTACAATATGTGTACTATACAATATGAAATATTAAGTATTACATTTCACTACTTTGTCAGTTTAATGTACGTAAACTTATCATGTACAATGAATATTCTACGACATCTTATTTTTGTTCCTGTAAATAATTCGTTAAAAGTTTTTTTCCCGTACATTAAAGTATAATATATTATTACAATATAAGAATTAAAAAATAATCATTAAGATAATTTTCTGGTAACAAAAGTTTCTCTATCGTGAGTCTCTAATTTCAATTTGATATCTTAGAGAAAAGATATAATGAAAGCATTGCAGAAACTATGTGTACAGTATTATTTATATTCAATATTTTTTGTTCATGACTATACTATACACGACAGAGAATTCGTTTTTGTTTGAATCTGTAACAAACTACGAAGTTCTTTTTTACTCTGGTATGGTGCTCTATTAATTCTATTTTATACCCATACTCAATTAATTACAATCATCTCATTTGCTTACATATACATATATCGCGAGATTAGAACAGAAAATGAAGTTATCTACACTGTAATCCTAATACAGAAATGCAAGCTTGTAACAATTACTTAACAGATTGGTATAGCGGTATTTTGTTCCAGGTTAGAAGTGTTTCCTTCATAGCAACTTCAAAACGTGACGTTTATAGCATAAATTTAAGAATTACAAATTCTAACTTTATATCTTAAAATTTTTATTTCATGAAACTTTACTTTCTATTCCCTGTTTTCTTTTAAAATAGTGAAGTATAAAGTACAGCAGACAAGATGTAGACAAACAGAATACAAAGTATTTTATATTCGTGATTTTCAACATGAAGCATTGTTTTTTATGCATACACATTATTTCTGTATATTGTAAATCTCTTAATTAACATATCGTAATTTATTTGTTTTCATCTTCAACATATTTTAATATTTAGTTATATGCTTAATCTTATATAGTATTTTGTTTCATTAAAAGTATATCAAAATCGAAAGGCGCAAATCGACAGTGTTTGGTAAAGAATCAAATGCACTGTATCCCTTAGCATTAAATTACAAATTGTTTCTCACTGTAAAAAGCATAATTGATCTGCCACATCATACGAAATGCATGCACAGGTTTCTGTGACAGTTTTAAACTTTTTCTTTAGAGTATTGCAATGACTGCAACTGTATCATCCTATTACATATATTTATAAAATATCTATATATACATATACGTACACGTATGTAATGCAGATAACATAATAGATAATACCTGCCCGAGCTGCCTCTATTCTGTCGCACACTTAAATATTTGGTGCTATTTAATTTAAAATATATGTGATTTATGGAAAAGTTAAACTTCCCCTCACAGACAGTGATCACAAATCATAAATGTTTATTTGAATTAAATTAAATAAAAGAAAAAAATATGGTTACCAATTAAGAGTTACTCTGAAGTACATAATACTGCTAGAAATTGTTTTATCTGGTTTAATGAATCATCAATATTACTTTTTTTTTTATTTATGTAATATTGAAGATATCATTAGAAACTTATAACGCGTACATATGTCAGCTCTCACATTGCATACATGCTTGGTAAATGGTGATAATTTAATATGATTACCCTCAATACAACGACGCATATAATTAGAGAAAGAATCTTTCTTTTTATAGTGTAGAAATAAAATATACTAAAAATATCAAAAGATTTATGCTATACGAAAAGAATTACGAAATTTTGTAGTTTAATTTACATATATCATTTGGGACATTTCATTAAATTTATGTATTAATATACCAATTGTCATTCAATTTATATAAATAAACTTTATTATTTAAAAATAACTAAATTTCTAATTAAATCAATTATCATATCAGTTTGGAAGAATTATGGGAAATACATTCTTTTATTTTCTTTCATGCTCTTTTCTATAATTAAATTATTTATAATGTAAAGAACTGTACTTCAAAAATAAAAATTACTAGAGGTAGCATTTGCATGTTTCATAATACATTGAAAAAACATTTATATTTTTATTAATAGAGGAAGACTTTATAAATATAGTGTATAAAAGTTATGAAAACGATATAACATAAAAAGTAATAGTAATTTAATTGCTAAATTATGGTTATATCATAGAATAGTTTCATAATTATGTAATCGATCATACTTATAAAAAATTATTTTATTTCAAAATTTTTAATTAATAAAAAAATGTTTAAATTTATATTACTCCATAGTGTGCCTAAGTATGCGATATTTTCTTGTAAGTGCTATCTTTTTCTAACACTGAAAATCAGTTAAATTTTTATAATTTCATTCATAAACTTCATGTGCGTGTATATAATCATAAGATATTAAATATTAAGCTTAAAACAATTTTTGGCCAAGTTTTATTGCAAAATATATGGAAGTATAAATAATAATATTATACCAAAAATATTGGTAAACGCATTGACAATATAAATCATTTAATTAAAGCAAATATCACTTTCAATAATAGTAAGGAAAAATAAATGCAAGCAAATAATAAATTACTAGCATCTAATATATATATACACGCGCGTGCGCATGTGTGTACATATAATATATAGAAGGTAAACATAATAAATAGTAACTAATTCAAAGCTGCAAATTTTATATAAAAATAAAGATAATTAATGATTTATTATTTGGCTAAAGACAGGCAGTGTCTGGTTCTATAATTGTACTAATTCTTCATAAATTCTTTAGCTTGATGTTACTGAAATCTTTGTCTAAATCTTTGTAAATGTAGAAGTATAAAATTTTATTTAAGTACTCCAAGATTTTTTTTTTTTTTTTCGAATAATAATTTTTAAAGTTGTCAAATATAATAATAAACTATTGATGTAGGCACAATAAAAGTTAGATTTTAACGAGAAGATATGAACACTAGCAAACTGAAGAGTCGTATAAAAAATGTTGCTTACTGTCTTATCTTGAATAAGCAAGCAACAATGACTGTGATTTTATTATAATGTTACACAGATAAGAAACGCAGCATCAATGCTACCATTATAATTACCACTATATTAATGGTATAAAAAGTTAATCAATAAATTTAAAAAATAATGTAAATATACAACAAAAAATATTTATAGTTATATGATACACATAAAACATAATATTATAGTAAACTAAACAGTGCAATGGTCCCGAAATTGTTACTATGAGAAATTGAAAATTGGTAACCTAAGAACAAATTAATTGAATCTTAGTCAATTTACAAACCTTGTTTTTACTGATAAGATGTTTCATACATCTTATATTAAAGTGATAGTTATGTCCAATATATGCTGGTGTAACAAGTAGATTATATATAAAAACCATTCACTCTTATACATGTGTACGTTTTTCTCCACAAATGTATCAAATGATGAGGACAGAAAAAGAAGAAATTAATCACCTAGAGAACAACGTCGGGCAGGGAGCAATGCCACTAGGCTAATTGCGTCCCACTTCGTCCACCATGATGTCCCATACCAATCATAGAACCGCCACCGCCAATATCATCGCGTACAATCTTTCTTTCTTTGTAATAAATTTCTTCACTTTCTTTATCACACAGTAACAACACTGCTCCACCAAACAAAAATATAGCTGCACCCCAACCAACTCCATATGCCCAACCAAATTCCCACATTGGCCTGTTTCCTATAATACAAATTTTACCATATCAAACATTTATAAAGATACTTACAGTAAAATGTTAAAAATATGTTTCAGAATTGTATAGGCTTACCAAAATTAAGTTCTGCAGCAAAACACACTGGATATATTACTAATGCTATTAAGAGTGATACCACTAAAACATAAATATTTATATATATATAGTTTACAAAATATTTTTGATGTGTTATATATACTATTATCTTAAATAATGAATCTTACATGCAAAACCCATACAGAAGACTGCAAATCTATAATATTTATGCTTGTCACGATTATCTTGTGATCTTAAACCAAGACCAGTAAGTATCGTTGCTGCAATATCTGTTATTAAACATACTACACATAAAGCAGCAGCTGCTTTTATATAGGCTGTAAAAGGAAACAAAGATAAATAAAAATCCATAACTTCAAAAATTTATTTAAAAGCTATTACTTCTTTATCGTACCAACATCTCTAGCTTGAAAACATCCTGCAGAATCTGGTACATTAAATGGCAAAGGTGTTGGTGCTGCTTCTTCAATGCAATGTGCAAATAAACCTTGTCTCCATCCTAATGACATTAACCAGTCAGTAGAAGCTAGACCCATGATCATCAATAATATTACTATTATCCCACATATAAAAGCTATCACCTGTAAAATAAAAATAACAAAATTATATTTCTAAACGTAATTATGATTTAATAAAAAAAAATTTTATCATTAAATTCGATTGTGTAGAATATTATAAAATTAAACTATAATAAATAAAAATAATTTTTTAATTAATTAATCACAATTACAAAATTATATTTTTTGTTTTAAAAAAGAATTATCAAATATGATACATAAGAATATAAAACTTTATCCAAAATAAAACACCAATAAGTAGTTGACTGTTGTACCAAATGGTATAAATTCGTTGCAAAAAAGCAACGCGAATTATACCTGTGCAATCTCAATATCACCCATGTGATCTTCAGCAACTGTATACATGATCATCATAGATCCACCGTACACTCTCAAGATTACTCCCAATGGACAAAACCGAGAAACCGAATATCTAATTAATACAGGCTCGAACTCTACACTTTCTTCTGTCTCTTCGACGAATACCATTTACGGGACATCGTACACTTTTCCACGTATCACCCTCAATAGACGACAAGGAAGCATTTAGAAATAATTCAGATACAAAATTTTTACAAATGACAAACACCTCTAGGGTAAACACGACTCACATTTCCTGTACCTTTGTTTAATGCGCAAAACAATTTTGTAATCACATTCTCGTTTCGAATGTCACAAAAATTATATTATTGCGATAGTTATCGTCTTTTCCTATGTATGTTAGTTTGTTCACTATAAAAACCTCGAAAAAATTCAACTAGCGAGGTCGAGTACAGACAGCCTCCATCGGAAATAATTGGGTTCCAGGGAAGCTGCGCCCATTAAAGGTCGTGGCGCAGTGCGCGTACGTGATAGAGGGTGTTTTTTAGTATAGACGAAACTTGAGACGAATGCTTCCATTTATAGAAATTTTCTTAATCACGTAACCGTAAAAAATAATGTAGTTTTCTTAATTGAATATTGAAATTTTTGTTTAAATACTTTGTTTTGTATTTTTTTTCTTCTTAATAATATCGAAGATATGTTCGCAACACAAACAATAATCTGATGTTGCAGTACGCATACAGATTTAGTTTTTAATCAAATCTAATTTAAGATACTGTAGTCATTGTGTTATTCACAGTGTTGTTTATAACTATATAAGAATATCAATAACTATGAATGGTTTATAAATACTTTATAAAAATTTGTGGTAAATCAATATTTTATCTCATGAAATAATGATTTTGAAACAAATTAAAAATAAGCAAAAAAGAACACATGAAAATTACCTTCAAGGGTCTAGTAATAGTAATTGTTTCAATGGTAGTTGCTTGTGCCATTTTTGCATGTATGTCTACAAGTTTATCTGAAAATAAAATAAATTCATAATAATAAAGCAAAATAAAAATAATAAAATCAGTAAGATGCAATTCTGACTAACATAATGTAATATAAATAATTTTATAAAAAAGAACAAATAATATAAGAAATTAATAAGCAATGTTAATAACCATATTAAATTAGATAATGGAATAAAAGTTATTAGTTATTGCATTGATTAATGTTTATTCTTCATAAGTAATGTACTTTGCATAAATAAATAAATTGCTTTATAAGTATTATTTAAATATTATTATATTAGATATTATATTTCCTATATTACTCATTAGTATTACCTCTAAATTTAATAATACTTCTAAACCAACACTTCTAAAAAACATATCACTCAAAAAATATCTTAATCATTATAAACATATTAACATTTAATTATACAATGTGAGATAAACAATATAGAAAACTATACTTGTAATAAATTTCAGAAATAAAAAATACATTATATACCAAATAAACTTAATTATGTATATGAAATAGATAATATTTATTATGTAGTGGGTTATATTTATTATTTGAGGCATTATTTGATTTGTTTAGATAATACAAATATACTTTGCTTTTTCCTATCTATATAATATTAAATGTTAAAATATTTGTTATCTCAACAAATTAAGACACTTACAATGGTTAATATATTCACTCTATAAGCTTATCAATTTTTGCACATATATCAAGTACTAAATGAATAAATCTAACTTTAAAATTTTTCAGCCTGCAAAGGAAATATGCATAAGGCTAAGATCAATAGAATAAACAATATTGTTATTCGACTTTAAGGGTTATGTCACTGGAAATGTCAACACAGATCTCAACATACGTTCACTATATACTTGTGTACTGCAGATACAGCAAAGAAATACAGATTAGCCCAATGAATAATCACTTAGGAAGAACGTAAGGGACGAACACTCTTATTGGTTCTTATTCTGTTGAAATTTCTAACCTCGATACTGATTGGCACGCTATCCATTCTTCAGTTCAACGAATAAACCTCGGTACTTACTATACTTTTGAACATGTTACGTCCAATAGAAAAAGTGATCTCAAAATTGGCTATGAAATAACTATGTATAATGTTTACATTACATGTATAAGCTTTTCTTCAATTATTAATTACGTACAATCGATTTTAAACTTCATATGCATTCATATAAAAGTCGTATATATTTAACATATTGTATTAAGTACAAAGAAATTCATAAAGTTAAGAAAATCAGATACAGTATAATATAATAGTATTTATATTACATATATCTTTATTTATTATCCATAAATTATTCATAAATTTTAATATCGTAGTCTATTCTAATAGTAGTCAATAGTTATTTAACATCTTTTTGGTATTGGATTAAAGTATACAAATTTATTAATAATTTAATGCATAACTAAAACTTCAAAAACATTTTCAATACAAATGAGATCGTGTATGTGAAACAGTGTGTATCTTTCTAAATCTGACAATGACGTCATTACATGACGTTGCACTACGCACATTTCTTTAAGCTACAGATAAACATATAATATATCAATATATTGTATTGAAATTTGATATCTTTTTATATTAATTTAAAAAATAGTTAAAATAAAGACGTAAGGAGAAACGGATGTACTTCGCAAATATTATAATTTATTCTTCTTACGTAAAACTACATTGTATGAATCATTATATAATGGACCATATTACGATATTTATACGTGGCGTAATTTTTATAAAAGTTAAATATTAACATAAGTGACAAAATTATATTTTATCTTATTAACCGATAAACAAAAAAAATAAGTTATTGAATGAAACGACGCACATTATTTCCAATATTAATCATTACAATAAAAACATTTCTTTTTGTATATTAAAATAAAAAATAAATTGTATAATTTAATTATAATATACATTCAATATTTTTAAAAATAAATGAGAATTTATAGGATAAATAATTAAAACATACACAAAAGTCGTAAGTAGTTTAATAAAAATTTGATTAAATTTTTAGAAAAAATAAATTTGAAAGTTTTTAAAACAAAATAAATAAATATATATATATTTGCATTTTACATGTGTAAATGATGCTGTGTAAATGATTCATAAAATTACTTAAATTAAAATATTATCACTTTTGCGGTAACTGATCGTTTTAACACTGTATTACGTTTCGTTGAAATGTTAATAAAAAAAAATATTTTGTTAACTGAACAGTGATACTATTTACATAAACTATATGATGAAATTTTATATTAATTAAAAGTATATAAACATGTTATTAAACTTATTAATTGTATTACAAATTTTATGTATAGTATTATAATACCGTGTAATATAAGCTAATGTAATAATAAACATATCAAAAAACAAATTTTAACAATTTTCAGGTATATTATATTAATTAAAAAAGTCTTAATCGATTATCGTTGAACAAAAAATAACCAACAATATTATTTTTATTATTATTAAATTAATTTAAATGAAATAACAATTCATTCAATATTTCATTATAAATAAGATTATCTAATTAATTAATACAAACTAAACTGTTATTCACGATAGAATATATTAATATTTAACTATTAACAATCACAAAATATTAAACATTGGGATTCAAACAATTATTATAAACTTGACGATGGAATTACTATAATCATTAACATATCAATTGCAATTTGTTAAAAGTAAATTGGAGGAATATTTAAGAAATCACAGTTAGTCTCAAACACATAGGAAAGTGTCGGTCCTATTACTATCCGATGCACGATCAGCTTTTGAGGGGGTAGAGGGAAGTTGTCGGCCATTTTGATTGTGACGCGCAGCGCGGAGGTCGTGGGCTCCACCAGTGACGAAGCCACTGGAGTTTTGACGTGGCTGCTACGTACCTGCCTGTTTGCCCACTCCGATTGCAGCAAAGTTGGTGACGAGAAATACGTAACTGGTAAGTACCCAGCTGGAGAATAATAACAACCGGGCATGGACCACTGCGCTTACGGTACATTGAAAATGTTGCCGAAACTACTAGCATTTGATTTCATGATCCCAGTACAATCAGTTTTACGTCTGCTATGGAATATGCCGTAAAATATGGCGCCTTAAGGAAGATGTACGAATTTCTCGAAAAGGGCAATGGGGGTTACGTGATGATTCTGACATCTCTTTTCATCGCTAACCGACACATCGTGATATTAATTGGTACAATTCTAGTCACGTTTCATCATGTTTTTTTTATGACTTCTGGCCCTTCGATCATGTTCGAAAGCATCTTAAGTGTTTATTGTTCTCGTATTATTTTTAGATCTGCTTATGTAAATGACGCAGTAACACCGCCGATTGCTGACTGGCGGGAAATTTAAAACTTTTGCACTTTAATGGATATCCCCAATTTTGAGTTGAATACGTTTTCGATTCTTGGTCCTACTTGTTCTGATGATGTTTATCTTTAGTCTGGAAGTCGATTCGTGATACTTCAAGTATGCATATATTTGATTTTTTAAGTAAAAGATTGTATGCATTTTTTGTAGTTTTTCTGCCATTGAAATGTTCAAAAAACCATACAAAAAATTAAATATAAATTGTTTACTAAGATATAAACAATGTCTATTTAATAGGATAATTTATTTAAATCTTAAAGTTCTTTGTTGTGTAGCAATTTTTTTTATCAAAAAACAGGTGTAATTACAAAACAGTATGCATTAAAATTAAAATTAAGAAAATTAATTACAGAATATGTGTAAATATAATTATGAAAATATATATAATTATGAAAATGTTTTTTCTTTTATAGGGTTTGAGGTTCCCAGGCTATGGAAAGTATGGTTGAGGAAAATGGATCAGCTGTTGACCCATTGTCTACGGGTTCTCAAAGCGGTGATGCAGCACCAGCAATAGCTACATCGGTACAATCTCTCAATAGAACACAGCAGCAAACGCATCATCTGGTAGCTTCTACCAGCATTGTGCAATTGACACTACCTACGTCAGGGGCAACACAGGTATACAGGAGGATCTCCTGTGTATCTATGTCTGATCATTTATTTATCTGTTTTAGTTTAGAGCATGCACATATAATTTATTTATTTTTTTAATCATAATTATCAGTTAATTAAATCTGTGTGTATATTCAATCTTGCATAATGCTGGTTCATATTAAGAAATTAAAATTTAAACTTAATTTTCTTAATTAACTATTTGTTTATTTCTTAATACAAGGAATTTATTGTTTGGATTTTTATAAATATTATTTCATATCTATTGTATAGTGACTTGCATATGCATGATGATATCTATCAAATTATAAAAGTTGTTATTTTTAGTTCATAGTGAAATATTTTATAAATATTCATGTTCATTTACACAATAATACCTATTCTTTAGCATATGTAATAATTTATATAAGATGTTTATTTGTTCATTTAGGTACAATCTGTTATACAACCAAATCAACAATCAGTTATTCAGACTGCAACAAACATTCAACCTGTCGCTATTTCAAAAGGAAATGTCATACTTGTCAGTAAACCCAACTCAGTTATACAAACAGCCCAAGCAAGTTTACAAACACTTCAGGTAAGTTCCTTTTTAATCCTATTACATCAAATAACTATTAGTGTAAAATATAATTTTATTTCTATTTTATTTGTACGTTAAGATTAACTTGTTTTACTTGTATACTTTTTTTGTAATTATTTTCACCTTTCTTAAATAAACAAATTACAATCTTGAAATTTGAATAATGCATTTATTGTATATTAAATATTGTGTGCAATTATATTAGGTGGTCGAGACTGGTAGTGATGATAGTTTCTCAGATTCAGAAGAATCTCCAGAACAAAGGGGTGGTATTCTCACCAGACGGCCATCTTACAAGAAAATTCTTAATGACTTAGGTGGTGGTGAAATTACAGGTTTGATATATTTTTCCTATTTATCATGTATCATATGGTTATACATCAATATACATATACATTAATAAATTTTTTGGTAGAATTAAGCACAGTACTAATTTCTAGAATTTTTAGAAATAAATTGTTGTACAATTATTTTATTACTTTACTTAAATTTATATAAATTTATTATTTTATTTATATATTAAAATTGTTGCATTCATTTGTTCTAAGCTTTATATATTTCAGAATGTACAAATTCTTAGGAAATAATAAAGTGCATGTCAGTTCATACAACTATTGTTATATACTGCTTAAATATTTCTTAGATAATTATTGCAGTCAGCCATTAATTTGTCATTAATCTAATTTGGATCTGAATAAATAAATCTGAAATTAATCTATTTTATAAGTTCATAAAACCAATTTGTTTTTTCTTTTTTTTTTTTTTATTAAACAGATATTTAAGTGCACTGAGTTCCCTTAGAATAGTAAAAAATATAAGTGCGATATTTTATTGTTTTTAATATTTTATTTTATACATGTTAAAAAGTGAATGCCATACCAAGCTTAGAATGTAAGATAAATTATGATAAAATTTAAGTTAATAATATTAAACCTAAGAAAATACAATGAACTCTCCTCTAACCACTATTTATGCGTACATAACATGAAAAAAAAGAAGAAAAAGAAATTGTTTTTATTCTAGTAGATAAAATCCTATTTATTTTTATTTTGGTATCAAATTTTATATCAAACAAAAAATTATTTGACTCCAATACCCAAACAACAAAATAAATTGGAAACTTTTTATAATTTAATACATAATTAATTTAATTGAATATATTGAATGTTCAAAATTTTCATTTATAAATAATTGATTAATCATAGATCTAATAGTTGAATTAGAAAATAATTAGAAAATTATAAAAATAGAAATTTATGATATTAATTACATACATTTGTCATTTTTAATCAAATTTAATTTTTCTTATGTTTAATAAAAATTTTATAAAATTAATTATTTATTAAAAATTGTTTTGATCTATTTCCTTTTTGTATGAGCTGACCGCACAGTATTATAATAAAAATATGATAACAGCAGCCAGAAAGGAAATAGCATACAGTGATATTTTAGTTTTATTCTTCTTCTTAATTATATAAATATTATCCTACTTTCTGGATGCAAATCATTTTGAATATAATTATAATATGTAATCATATAGTGATGTGAACATATAATTATACACTTTTATGCAATCAGGAAAGTTATTTCAGAAGAAACGTTAATTTTAAATATTTAATTTATTCTTGTATCATTGTTTCTACAAATTAATATTATAAGAAATTCATTATATTGTTTGCTGATGAAATTTATATCATATTATGGGAACGTTTCAAGTTCATTTAGATTAAATAAATTAACACCGATAACAACTCTATTATAATAGGGGGTTGTATTAATTCGGTGTTACAGACGGTCGATTGCCCCCTCTAGAATCATCTTCTGAGTGTGATTCTAACGTGGACAGTGAAGTGTCTTCCCATTCGCTTCATTATCAGACAGGTTGGTTATTTTTTCTTCTACATATCTTTCCTGGCTGTTCTTTATTTAATTCTATGCGCGTTCCCAACCTTTGTCCTTTTATTTTAATAAAAATAATGTTAGAGGAGTAAATTAGAACTATCAGTCTGAAGCGTTTAAAATATTATTCCTCTTAGCCCTGTATATATTGCCTAATATAATATTCTGTATGATGTTTGCTTGGTGTGGCATCTTTGCTTATGGGATTTTTAATTCTGTTTATGAATAGGTTTGTGTACATGCATTGAATAATGTATGTAGTCATTATAATTGTTAAGAAATTATTCAAATTTATGTTCACGTTTTCTGTGTACTATCACTAAAAGAAAATAATTGTTAATATGTCTAGTAAAAGATATATATGTTCAGTTAGATGTAGAAATAGAATTTTCTGCTGGCACCATTCAAATTGCTACCCAAGGAGAAGGTGTACCTGGACTTCACACACTAACTATGAGTAATGCAGCAACAGCAGGAGGAGCTATAGTACAATATGCACAGGGTCAAGATACACAATTTTTTGTCCCAGGTGCGCGTTTTTTCATAGTTTTTTAACATTATATTTCTTATAACTCAGTATGCTTTTAAATTCTTTTTTAATTTTTTTTTTCTTTTTTTAATATATAAGCAGCGTTTAGATACTTAATAGTAATTATTATAATATAAATTAAGCATTTAAATCTTCATTGACTGATTGAGAACAAAAAAATTAAAAATTTGGGGAATACAGTCTCTGACAATGTTCCAGCTTATACAGGACATGGTGTTGTAGTAGAAGATGCAGCTAGAAAAAGAGAATTAAGGTTGCTTAAAAATAGGTATGGTTTGTTTTTTACTTTTAATTCATTGTTTATACATATACATATTTGTAAAAATATACTGAAATATCAAAATACTTCCCTTTTTTTTAGACAAGCAGCTCGCGAGTGTAGAAGGAAAAAGAAGGAATATATAAAGTGTTTAGAAAATCGTGTTGCAATACTAGAAAACAGAAATCAGACATTAATAGAAGAACTCAAATCGTTAAAACAATTATGCGAACCGAAAACTGACTGAGGTTGGTGTTCAATGTTAAAACATTGTATGAAAACTATTAACCTGTTAAAAAACTTGTACATGTCTTCTTTGTGTACATTATCCTAAAAATTGTTAGGTAAGCAATGGTGATGTACATGCATTCTTATAAATAAGTGTTTCTGTAACATACTGTATTTAAAATGCAAATATGAAGGCTTGTGAAACTTGCTATTACTAAAGCGAGAAGTCAAAGGTATATGAAATGCAGAGGCAGCAAACTTATAGGCAATATTCTGGAAGTCAATCTATATTTTGGATAAACTTAACAATCATATGAATTCATGTTATTAACATTTACATATTCAAAATATGTGTTAATAACGAAATAATAACATTAGTGTTGGAACATATTCATTTAGATTACAGTAACTATGTGATGTTGAATGATATACCCGGAACTGGTTTACTTATACATAAACATTGTATTCGTGTAGTTTCATTCTACCTGGAAAGACTTCACAATAGTCAAATATCGTCAGAATTACAAGAAAAAGAAAACAAGAGAGTATGTTTAGTAGTCAATTTAAAGTAAATAATTGGTCGCTAATTACACATATTTGCGAGAAACGCCTTATACACAATATTTGCTAGTGTAACTTAGAAATTAGATATAATTACGAGCTAAAATCACATAGTTTCTGCATAAAAAGAAGAGCATAGTTAGGCAACAGTGTCTATATTACTTTTTTCTTTCTGCAGTTTCTTTATTCTTTTATACTTCAAAAAGGCAGGTCCATTTAAAAAAAATGAAACTATTACAAATGTTTGAAGCGTATATGAAGAGATTATAAATAATTGTAAATAGATAAATAGATCGAAATTCTGCTACTTTGATCATTGTTGCTGCAACATATATGTGTATAAAGTATCGTCTTATAATTATAATATAATTTTTTACCTTAAATACAAACATCAGAAATGTATTATGCAGAAAAATATAATTTATACAGTGTAAAGAAATGTGCGATAGAAAAGCATTAGCAAAAATGCTCTCGTCTGACTTTACTTTCTATCTTAAGATGCCTCAAGTGCGAGAAGCTGAAGAACAGAATTTGTAAAATATAAATGTAATATATGTATATATATATATATTACATTTATATTTTACAAATTCTGTTCTTATATATATATATATATATATAAGATATATATATATATATCTGGAGTGCCTTGAAGATTTCTGTATACATATGGTATACAAATAAAATACGCGCAAGTGCGCTCACACACACACGCATACATATGTATGTATGAAATCACTTTTTAGGTAAATATGGGTACATACAATATTTTTGAATTATATATTGTGTTATAGTTTTATGTTTTACATAAAAATCGCATTGCGTTAAAATTAAAATTTTTTCCAATACAATTTCATACTTTTTAAAATTAAATAATACCTTTAAACCATTAGTGTAAGTTATACAGCATACTGTAAATTTCACACAGATATTGAATCTGTTTTATGTTACACTAAAAAACAGAAGAATTTGTTATAGCCAAATAACTTGTATTATGATTTTTAATATTGTGAAAACAAATTATTTTTTAATGTTTGACACATATTTACCACTATAAAAAGGATTATTCTCAGATGCATTTTTTCTCATAAAATCAGTGTTCTGTAACTTAAGTATGAAAACTATTTGATGTATAATTTTGATTGTTATATATTTATAAAAATATACAATTTCAAATATTAAAAATCCAGTTTGATCTTTCAGTAAAGTAATATATACTGTTTAATACATTTAGTAATAACTTGCTAATTATTCAAGAAATTCTAATTTTGTTTGACTTTTTATATGTTAAAATATTATTGTTTGCAAAATAATTTATATAAAAAATATAGTAATATTGCTTGCATATTCCTTGTATTACATATATTTTTTAATAAAGTTAAAATAAATTTAATAATGATTGGTCAAACTGGATTTTTTGTATAGGCATAATGCATAATTTGTCAAATTATTTGTCATTAAATTTTTCACTTTAACATTAGAATACAAAGATGTTATACAATCTTTTGATTTTATGTGCTTAATATGTAATTTATAATCATATGATTTTATTGAATTGAAAACCAAATTATTTTCAAATTATTTCGTGTAAACTGAAAGTACAATGCAGTTATAGTGATGTGTACAAAATAAAATAAAAACTATAAGTCCTTCTCTTATAGATTTTAAATTTGATTTGATTTAAAAAAATGATACTGTACACATTTTCATCTGTGTTTTAATGTTAATTATATGTATGATATATGTATATCTTGATTGCTGCACCGATAATATTGTATATAGATAATATATGTATTTTTACATATCATTTGTCTTTAAAAAATATAATTCATAAATCTCTTTAAAAATAGTGTTATTACTACAAAAATTTAATTATTAAAAAATATTTTATTACTTTATTATTTAATTATTAAAAAATATTTTATTACTTTATTATTTAATTATTAAAAAATATTTTATTACTTTATTATTTAATTATTAAAAAATATTTAATAAGTTATTAAGTACTCAGAAATATATATTTAAAAAATTTTATTTAGTATATATACACTTAGTTTCTTATTACATTAGTATAAATTAGATGATATAGCCATGGTAACTAATCTTCTTACCTAAAACATATGAAACATTTTAAAGTATAATTTATAAAAATTATGAATTTTAAGCATTTAAATTAAAAAATTCAGTTGATAGTGCATGCAAAAAATAATCAGAAACTCATTAATGGTAAAAATCTCATCATATTACAAATATAAGCAAAATCTTATAAAAAAAGGAATAATACTAACCGTGTATTTTATTTTGCTGTGATTTTTAAAAGGTTAAATATTGTTATTAATAACCCTAAAATTAATATAACCCAATTAAATACTTATTAATATTTAGAATATTTACTTATTTAAAACAACTAGTTCAGTTGGTAGTGCATGTGTAAAACAATCATGATATCATGTAAATGGTTGAAAATTCATCATATAAATTTTGAAATAACACTATGAATAAATATAATTAAAAATACATACTATTTTACTGTGTTTTGATGTTTTCCAATTATAAAGTTTTAACGACATGAACCTCCTGCAAATAAATTTTTATATAATTCAGTATATATAACCATAAAATAAAAATACAAATAGTTAAAAAATATTTATTTAAAACTTTCATAAATATGAAAGATTAGTTGATTAGAATTTTATTATATAATAATAAAAACTCATTATTAGTGATGTTTTTAGATTATAAAATTTTATAAATGTATGTTACATACCATAATCAACAATAAACACGTGCGTACGAACTTGCATTTATATATGTATTTTTTAGAAATTATATAATAAAATAATTACATTATAAAATTCTCCCTTTGCAAATCCTTCATAAATTTTTACTAATTTTTAAACTGATTTATATCACTGATTTTATTTTTAACTTTCAAAGTTCATCCCGGACCTTATAAATCCAAGATGATCTAAACGTACAGCAAAAGAATATTAAGTTGGAATTTTTATGAGAGAAGTTTTTCTTCTAACTTTGGGTAAATTTTCATGTGTGTAATGTGGTAGTTCAGATTTTCGAAAATATATTTTCTATAACTGTAGAACTATTATTAAAAAATCCAAAATATAAATAAACGTACAAATTATGATCGTATATTTATTTTAAATTTACATTTCAATTTCATTAATTTTGCTTGATTTTAACTAATAAGGAAATAACTAGATTTTGTTGTACATTTATGGAATAGTATATTCATATGTACGTATCTATCTAGTTATTACCAATCCAATCTCAGTAGTTACAAGTGTCAGTATTGTAAGTGAGAATTGTGTGCATTTCGGAGAAGACATGGAGGTAATTGAAAAATGTTCTAACGGGATTTCGGCAGAATTATAGTTTTTTGTAACTGTTGTTAATCGATATAATAACCGTTACGGAAATCGAAAAATTTAAGATTAAGACAGTGAAATTATGCATGACAACGGCTTCAAGCAATGTTACTGACATTTTACACTATCGCAGTTGTCGATCGTAAATGTTTAATATTCCATTTTATAGAAATTTGTCATAAACTTACTGTAAATTAACTGATTACATATAATAATACATGCTCGATGCATGATTTTTAAAAATTCTTTAAGAATAGTTAAACCATTTTCAAAATTGGTGTAATGATTGTCAAAGTATTAGATAGTTTATCTTGTATACCAAAATTTCTCATCAACAAGATCCTGATTTATTGACACAGGCGAAAGGAAAATAAAGATGACGGAAAGTTTAATAAATGAATGGCTAGCAGACTGTGCAGATGTCTCATCTTCAGAACTCCATACTTTTGCCACTACTTTATCACAAGACAATGAAATAGTTAGAGCACTTTATGTACTCTTAGAAGAACGTAGTAAATACAGTCAGGTAATATGCTCCTGGCAAAATTTATTATATCTTAACAAAATGTAATTAATTTTTTTAATAGATATGTCAACTTATATGTAATTTATATAAATTTTATTAATTTACTTCTTAACATAAAAATGAAATACAAGCCAAATTAATTTTCTTTTCAATCTTGTCTTTTATTTTAAAATATATTAGATTTTATTTAATTTATTTATATCAGTAATTTTTCATTCATTATAGTTGGTGGATACAGTATGTGATCAATTATATAATTTTTATCGCTCTCGAGAAACAGAATTGCAAAGGTTTACCTTGCAATTTTTGCCAACATTGGTGTACATTTATTTGAATTCTGCAGCACATGGTGATATTAAGGTAAGATTGTGTAATGAAAAATGAACATAGATAAATATAAATCTCATTGAATATAATTATAAATATAAGTCATAAATATAAAGTCATTGAATATAATTGATATGAATATCAATGTTACATAACAGAGCAATTATAATTTAAGTAAAAATTATATGGTAAAACAATGATATCATTTACTTGATTATAAAACAACAATATTAAAATAATTAATTAAATTATGTAATCTTAATGTTTAATTAATTTTCATTAATAGTTTTGTATTTTAAGTATTTTGTAATGATAATCTTAAGAAATTTGTGGAAGAATTATAATTGCTATTTCTTAATACAAGAAATAAATTATGCGCATACATTGCTTCAAACCTTTAACTTGGCTACCTACCTTTTTCTTTACAGAATTGCAGGTCTGTAGAAACATTATTGATTGGCCTATATAATTTAGAAATAGTGGATAAATCTGGACAACAGAAAGCTATTTCTTTTAGACTACCTTCACTTGCTATGCTTTCTATATTTCATGAGGTATGTGTATTTTATTGAAAATAAATATATTTAAATTACATAAATAAGTAATACTAGTGTAATTACTTTCTTTTTCTAGCCTGCAAGTTTAGCACCTGCTTCTTTAACTGAGAGTGCAGTACGCAGATTCGAAGAATGTAATACAAAACTTGTTAGTTGGGGCCCATTGCAACAAGTTGAAACACTAAATGCTCAGAACAGACTAAAAGTTATGACTGCTCTTCTTTTTATCTACAATCAACAACTTGGTTATATAAGTAAATTTGCTTTGGAACAATTATGCAAAGTTGCTACTAAGTAAGATGAAATTAATTGTTTTTCATATATTTGATAAATGCATAATATTTATTCCAATAATTTATTGTCAGACTTGTTACTCAAGGATTCATGAAACCAGGACATCATCAACGATCTTCTTATGGAAGTGAGTCTAGTTTTGTTCCTAGGCTCTTACCACGCATACCTGTATCCAGTCAGTTTCTTCTTGAATTTTTGCATGCTGTTTACTTTGCTATGTGAGTAATATATTATTCTTTAAATAATAATTTGTTAATAAAATAATATTGAAAAGTAGTAAAATAAATTTTATTAAATTGATTAATAATGAAATATAAATTTGAATAATAATGATATATTAATAATAATAATAATATATATTTGTAGGTATAATGACTGTTGGTATTTAGGAACACAAGCAGTGGAAGATATTCATAATCGAGCATGTTATGAAACATATCCAGATGTTATGTTAGTTACAAATGCTATACGTAATTCTGCTACTACTGGACCATCAGGTATATCAATACAATCTAATGAATAAAAAGTACTATGTATTATACATATATTTAACAATAATCAGTCATTTCAGGTCAACCTAGTGATGGACCGATTGGCATTAGTGTTGCATTATCACCAGCAACTGCAACTGCAACAGTGTCTAAATCAATGATCACAAATGCCTCGTTCCGAACCAAAAAGTTACCAGGTATATTTTCATTTTAATATTTATTCTGTAATTATTATTATTAAATTTTATATTTCGACAAATTAATGTGCTCATAATTTAGTTTCTTTTTTTTTTAGTTTTTATATTTTATGCACATACAAAAACTATTTTCTTTTACATTAATTATAAATATCCAGCATGCTATCAGGTGTTGTATAGCAATTACTAATTAGAATGCACTAAAATATCATATGAATAACATTAAATATCAAAAAATTTTCTAAAGTAAAATTTAGAAATTAAAAATAAATATATAATATTATATGCAGTATTATATATAAAATGTACATGAATAAATATGATGAACATAACGAACATAATGCATATAGTAATGTAGAGATATGAATCTTATTATAGAAAAATGACATTTGATAGTAATTGTAATTGTCTTTATAAATATATGTTATATTTTTAAATTAGAATAAGTCAAAAGTAGTTTAAATTAGGATAGATTAAAATTTGCAATTAGTAATATGAATGAGATTTCTAAAATTTATATACATAAAAATTTATTTGCTTGTAACAAATTCATTTTGCATGAAGTATATTTTAAACACACGGAACACATATTTAAACATTTGAACAATAATAAATTCGTTTCATAAATGACTGAACTAAGCAAATGTGCATTGCTTGCAAACATATGTCGTTAGACGATCTGGATGAGAAGTTATTTGTGGATGAAGTAAACGCTACCCAACTTGAAAAGCAACAACCGACAATATCTAATACTACGAAGCGGGTTCCTTGGCATTGGAAGCACTCATTTTCGATTTCAAACGAAGAAGATACCAAAATAAAAAAAGCCAGTTTTTCCGCAATGGAAATATTTAGGCGAGGAAGTGCGAGTAGCAATCTAAATTCTCCTATTAAATCCTCTCCTAAACGAAATAGAGAACATTTAAAGAAATCAGAGAGAAGTGAAGATTACAATTTAAAAGTAAATCTTAAAGTGAAAAAGGAATACAAAGAAAATGCTGATTTAACTCATGGTGAAAACAAAAATGGATCGGGTTCCCATTTGTATAATGTATTGGAGGAACAGTTTCTAGGAGAAATAATTCATGAATCAATGGAAAATTTATATTTGGAAGAAAATAAATCAATTGGTTTTCATACAACTGCTGCACTGTCAACAAATACATGGTACTAGTGATTCAGTTTCAGCACTTTAGGATCACTAAATATTGAAATTTCTCCAGCAAAACACGCGGCAAATTAGCTGTTACACTATGTAACATTAACTATTTTAATTAGTAGCAATTTATGCATTCATCAATGAATTCATTTCAGAGGAACCACCATTTTTACAAGAAAAAAAACCCATGCATAAAATATTCTGTATATTCAAATGCACATAATGGAAAAGCTGCATGCAGTTTCGGCACGTTTATTTTCACTGAAGATAGCTCGTTTATTATAACCCAGGTTTATCCTACACCCTTTACATTCCCATTTTATTATTCCTAACTATTGATTTTTGTATATTGCATTACAATATTTCTATTAAAAATTGTAAATTGTTTGGTTACTATTTTTAATTTACGACGTGCGTAAAATGTTTTATTCATGTTGTGAACATGTATATTTTTCGGATAATTGTATAAATATAAAGCTTAATATTATTATTTTTGCTTTACACAAAGTGCTTAATTTCTTGGAGTTTATTCTCACAGTATTTTAATATATTTTTGAAATATATTAATATGTTATATTTATTAATACATTAATAACATATTTTTATTTATTTTCGTTTTTGTTTAGATGACATACCAATTCAAGAAACGAAGAAAGATTCTGGAGGAGAAGGTAAGAGTAATCTTGTATCAATCACAGAAGAAGAATTAATAGAACCAAATAGAGTTGGTTCAATAAGACAATCGAAGGATCAAAAGACTGCGTCTAAAATCACGAATTTTCCGGTACTTGGAAAAAAGCCACGAGAAAAGGAAGGTAAAGTAACTAAAAATGCTCACGTTAGCGCACTTGAAAAGGAAAAGAAACTTGGGTCTCAAGCAACTTCAAAGGAAAGTATTAAAGGTAGTTCCTCAATGTCAAATAATGAGTCAACAGAAATTGATAACAATGTTAATGGATGTTCAATCAAGAAAAAGAATAATAGTGTAGAAAATAATTCAGTTACAGTAGACACTAACGTTTCTTTGATTGATGGTGAACGGCTTGCGTTGGGTGTAGATATAGATAACACTAATATCGAAACTCCTATTACATTAAGGACGCATAATGAAACTGAATCATTAACTTCATCTATTCAAGTCAGCTCTGTTTAAGTTATAACAGGTAAATTTTTAAAACAGAAACAACAAAAGTGATGGACTACATTGAACAACTGAAACAATTATCTTTTTAATTGTATTTAATTGTACATATATATATTTCTTTCCTTATTTTTAAGAATTTATATAAGGTATTTTGTGAATAATTTCATTAATTATATATTTGTATTGGGAGTAAATATAATTTGGGGAAGGAGTTGTGTATATAGTTGATTTAAAAGTGGTCCATTACTATAATAATCTCCATACTTTATTTTAAAATGGTAATAGAAAAGTAATGGGGAAGGGAACAATAAGCTAACACTACATATTTTCCTTTAATGAAAGTACAGATTTGTATATTAAAGGATTCTGTTAATTATTTATAACGTACCTTTTAAAGCATTCAATAGATTTATATCGATTTCAAATGTTTTAATTTGTGATTGTTTGAAGATTTTAAATGTTAAAGATCTAGTAGACCTATAAGAAAGTTAATGACTGATTCAATATTTTAATTAATTGAAAATATAGATCAAAGTGAAGAAATTTATATGTATTCTGTTTTGAAATTATATTTATCAAACTAAACAATGTTATTATTTAATATTTGTAGTATTTAATTCTATACATTGGTATAAATTTCTGTGGTAATAATTTTATTCTGTTTCTTATGGTAAAAAGGTTGGAAGTATTTCATAATTTTATAAAAAAGCATATGGTTTCTAGTTTTAAATATTGAATTTTGTAAAAAAAAAAATGCAATATGACTGACTTGTTCTTTGAACTAGTAAAAATTAAATGTAGAAAAATTTAAATTAAATTAGGAGACATTCTGAAAATTTTTCTAATAATTATATTTTTCATAATATCTTTATATTTGTCTATATAGAGTTCTCTGTAAATTGTGTTTAGATGAAAATGTATTTTTTTTTTTATAAATTATAAAAAAGAAAATGTTTCTAATTTACATTATTATGATTTCAAAATGATTTATATCAATGTTTTTCCGTAATTCTAATATTAACAGTAATATTAATTTACAGTTACAAATATCCAGAGAGAAATATTTAAAAATAAACCTTTGCGATTTTGCAGTATTTATGTTTATATATGTACATTGTGGTAGGAAATATTTAAAAAATAGCTTTTTTCAAAATTATTTATTGATTATCGATTGTTTTAACCAAAATTAAAAAATACTTTTTAACTGTATAATTACTGAAACATCTAAGAGTTGTAAAAAAATTCATAAATTCAAGTAAAATATATTTAAAAGATTAAAACTTGGAATTGGTATTTACTTGGAAAAGACTGTATAATGCATCACATTATTACTTAGTCTAACAAAAAATATACAACTATTATTTGTTAACCAATCAGAGTGTTCAATGCGGTATTGTGTATTAATATTAAATAAAAAAGAAAGGAATTATTAAATTTAATTCCAATTATTTCAAATAACTATAAATTCAGTCTGTCAAATAATAAAAGAAGGCTGATTTATATTCTACTTGTAAAGAATTTATTTTCATGGAAATAAAAAACTAGCTCTCTAGAATTCCATAAATTATACAAATAGTAAAAAAATGAATGAATTAGGTTTTTTTAAGTACTGGGACATATATTTATTATTTTATTATAATATCTTAAATTGTTCCCTATTCCTATATGTTATTATATAATTACAGATGGTACTATACTTTCTTCAATAAAAAATGTATTATTTTTGTACTTTTTGTATTATTAAAAATATTATATAAAATGCATGTTTGCATTTTTTCGACATTGAAAATAGTCACATGAGAAATTTTTTATAAGTAATGAGACTTTAAATAGAAAATAAATAGACACTTACTAATAATTATACATACAATATTATATGAAACAAAAACAAATTTAGAAACAATAAGTTTCTGAAGTATTTAAATAAAGTTAATAAAATTTAAATTTTTAGTTAATGACCATCAGAAATATAAAAACAAAAACCAAAATTATAAATTAATTTATTCAGAAAAAGCCTGAATTTAGTTTTCTGTATCACTGCCATTTAGAGTAATTTAATCAATTAAATGGTATTAATGACTTAAGTTTATAAGTTTGATTAATTATATATTATTATACCTAAAATTACACGTTTCTCTGTATGCACGTGTGAAATATAAGTGTTAAACAAATAAAAGATAATATGAACTGTAAGTATTATCAAATCACATAAGGAAAATAGAATTATCTATATAAAAGATAATAAGTTAAATGTTTGTTAAATTCATTAAAATACTTGTACAAAAGATAAGAAGAAAGGGGAATTGGTAAATATATAAGAATTGTAAGATTTAATGTAAATTTTGGAGCTATTCATTATTTATCAAAGAATTGCTCTTTTCTGTATATTTGACAAATTCTCTTGTGCACTTAGCTCTGTCATATATATAGAGCAACTTCTTGCATACAAAAAGAATAACATGTACATAATGTTTCATGAAAACTATCAATGTACTCATAGAGTGTGAAACAATAACCACAATAACTTGTATGTTTATGCAAATTATATAAAGTTATGATAATTCATGTATATGCTGGTATAAATATTGTACATTATTTTGATTTATAATCATAATGTTAGAGCTCGTTATATTGTTAAAGTTGTTAATATGTAAATAATATATAAATCTATTACACAAGAGTCCTGATTAAATTTATTGATAAGACATTTGATTTTTATTGCATGTTTGTGATAAAATCAACATTAATATTTGCATATTTTGTAGACACAAAGAAAAATTAAAATGAAATGCACAAAGTATATATTATTTCCTCATAATGACATATTCTCATCAAGAAATGAAACTATAAATTTTTTCCTCATTAAGTGAAGTCACTGTCACTTTATTTTTTAAATTTGTTGCTGTGCATTCTAAGTAAAGTTACATACATTCCAAACAAATATATCAATTTAAAATTCTTATAAAGTTTATAACTTTTTAATGTACTATAACTGTATATATTATAATTATTTTATTAAAATATTTATATTTAAACAGGAATTTTAGTACAAGGCCTTGAGAATTGCAATTTTTTGTAAGTTATGAATTTTTTAAATTTAATAATGAGTTTAATATGTTGAATTTAAAATGACGTATATAACAAACATGTTCTAATTCAATTTTATTAATGATGTAAATCAAATAAAAACTTATTCTTGTTAAAAGAATACAAATCTTTAAAAATATATTTGTCTTTTTTGCATATAGTATACTTTGTAGAAAATCTATTTTCAGTTATTAAAGTTACCACCAAAAGTCATATATATATTGAGATTACTTGGCAATATATGCAATAAAACTATTAAAATAAGTTTATGGAATAATTTGCGATATTTGTATTAGTTCTTATATTAAAACTTTGATGTATTTTATGTATTTATTCAGATTAATTATAATTTTGCACCTATTAAATGATGCAATAAAAATAATATTTAGATAAATCAATCACAATAAATTATGCAAAAATATTGTTGATATATGTAATTAAATGAAATAAGATATATTGTCTTTTTAAATATTTATTTCCCATATATTTACATAATACTACATTATTTATTATATTTTATATACTATTTATATATATTCCTTTGTATATCTCAATATTTACAAAAAACGAATTAACATAATAAATAGTTTAAATTTGTCAATAATGCTTACTTTATTAGTACTTCATTCTTACTTTGTGTAGCTAAAAACTAGTATTGGACAATATTAGAATTACTGATGAAACATTATTTGTAATGATAAAATAAAATACGTATAAAAGTAAAAAGATGTTATCATACATGTATGTTATACACAGCTTCTATTCAATTACCCAGGGTTTCCATAAAGTTTCTTCCTATTAAAAAAAAAAATTGAAATATTTTATTTTAAATCATTTTTTCTCTTTTCAGAAAGAAAACAGTTTTAATTTATAGTATATTTATATAATATACATGGAACTTACAGATGAAATTTCATTGTTATACAAATCTTGGTAAGTTCTAAGAAGTCCTATAATTTCTTCTTCCAATTTCTTTGTCATGCTTTGCATTTTGTTTAGTTTTAAACAATCTTCATTGTATTGAATTTGCATTTCTTCCAACTTTTCTTTGCATGATTTTTTATTACTATAATTAAAAATTTTGTTCAAGCGAAAATACTAACCATTTATTTGAAATATCTTCAAGATATTTTAGTTTTGAAGTACCTTAATAGTTTGGCACTTAAATTACGTAAAGAAGAAAGACGTTCTTCACATTGTGCATGAACTTCATTTATTTCATCTTCTTTATGCCGATTTTTTTGAATTTCTAATTTTTTTTCAAGTTCTACAATATCTGCTTTAAGAGTATCAACTTGCTTCCTTAGGTTATCCTCTTGTACTTTTATTTTTCTAAGAAGAGCAAACAATATAATAAATACTTAAAACTTTAATGAAAGTAAAACAAAATTATATAAGTACTTCAACTGATCATGTATATCTCGAATTTCGGTAAATTTCACCAGCTGTTCTTGAATAAAAGTCAATATATTTTTTTGCTGTTCAATTAAATACTTCTTATCCTGAAAAGCTTCTTGCATTGTCTCTCGTTCCTTAACTTTAGCACTTTGTTGTTGCTCTAATTCACTTAAACGCATTTGATATTCTTCAGGAGTTTTTACAATTTCTAACTGTAATTCTCCTATCGTTTTACTTAACTAGAATTATATACTATTTAATTTAATATATTGTGATTATATGATATTATTATTTTATATATATATGAATAATCTTATGAATATGAATAAAAATAATCATATGAATATATATTCATTTCAATTTGATTTCAATTGTTTTTAAACGTTCATTTACCTTTAATGCTTGTGTTTTATAAGTTCCATAAAGTTCCACAGCTTGTTGTTTCTTTTCTTCTGCTGCTGTCATTCTGGACATTATGTCAACATACTTTTTATTATTTTTTTCAATTCTGGTTTGCAATATTTGGATTTCAGCAATATACTAAAAGGTTAGAATGAAAATACTATGCATAATTTAGAATATAAATATAAATTATATTTGTCAAATAAAACCTTTTCTTTTGATGATAACTGTTTTGCTACATGCAATGCCTTATCATTTCTAGCTTTTAAAGTTTCATTTTTCTTTTCCAAAATATCATTTAAGATTTTTGCTCGGTTTTGAATTTCACTAATCTTATCTTCTATATCTGATTCTTTGTTAGTTGCATATAAAATAAAATTAGCAAGGAACTTTGCTTGTTTACGTACTTTCTTTGATCCTGAGTAATAAAATTATTTTTATCTAATTGATACATTGTTTATCAAATTTTTAAATATATTATCAAAAACTACCTGGACTAGTGATATCTGTAATACATAGATCTTTTAAATATATTCGGTCGCATATTTGAACCATAGCAACATGTAAATTTATAAGTCCAATTATAGTAGAATCTTCACTGTATGACATTATATCTTGTTGTTCCATTGTTGGCTATAACAAAGTAAAATTTTTAATATATTATTTAAATAACATGAAATGATTAAAATATTATTATCATGGAACATTTTATAATTCTTACTTTATCAATAGCATTAACATCTATATGAAATCTTTTTAGAAATGTGTTAATTAAATTGACAATAAATTCTTCCGTTGGATTTTTTAGTTCGTTTATGCTTGATGGAAGATTAGCTTCAATTAAAATGTTATGAATTTTTTCTATATCCAAATCCATGTTTTGTTTCCTAGGAATTTTCCTATTTTTAATATAAATTATTTTTGCGTATACAAGTTTTGTTTCTGACAGTTTAGATTGAAACGGATTAAAATTTATACACATGCGCAAATAGTATAGAGTAGTTTCTTATGATGAATTTTCAGTAAAAATTTCGAATAACAATAATCTTTAAACATATATCTGATATTTACACATAAGAATTAAAATATAATAAACAAAATCAAATAAAGTAAAAATCTACGAATTTAAATTTTTATAAAATTTAATATTATATAATTTTTATATTATATTATTTACATTTAAAATATGCGTACTGGTATATAATGACTTTGCTTCGTAAATAAAGTAATTCATTAATATTTCTAAAATATTCTTTATTAATCATTTATAAAAGAAAGTGAAGAAAAAGATTTTAATTCTTTTAGTAATTTTTATGTCAATATATAACTTTTAATATATCATATCTGCAAATTAATAATAATAATGTTATACAATATAACTTTACAGATTTATCCAAATATAATTAACTGAAATTTCAAATCAATTATAAACAATAGACACCATCTTGTATAAAAAAAAAGTTATACGCATTGGTAACACTGAATGAATCGTAAGCATATCAAACCTTCACATATGATAGGCTACGTCACCAACGAATTTGTACAAAGCTTTTACGTTACATATTTTTCTTTTTCAATTACCTACTAATAACAAATAACAATCTTTTTGATGTTTTATATTCTTTTAGACCAAGTGACATAAGAAGTTTTCTCATCAAAAATGGGATCTTCTCACAGTATCGAAATACCAGGAGGTGGCACAGAAGGTTACCATGTATTGAGGGTAAGAAAATGTGTCAGAATGTTGTAATTTACATTCTGAATTTTTACTTTTTTATTTAATAAGATAGAATCGATTTTGATCATTAATATTTTAACATATTATAAAATAATTATACTTTAATAAGAATTTTGTCAAGTAATTTTATTGTATATTAGATTATAGTTTAAGATTTAAATATGAAGTTTAAAGTTATTAATTAAATTTAGCTATCATTTTATTAAATATTTTGTAAATTTAATTTCTATTTCATGATTAAAATAGGTACAAGAAGGTTCTCCTGGTCAAAAAGCTGGTCTAGAAGCATTTTTTGATTTTATCGTAGCAATTGGAAATACTCGCTTGGTATGTTTCATCTTAATTTCTATTTTTAATCAATATTTCATGTTGTTAAGTTATTAAATTTATATATAGTCTAAGTTAAAATAATGAATGTTTTATCAGGATCAAGATAATGATACATTAAAGGAACTTCTTAAAAATGGTGTAGATAAAAAATTAACAATTACAATATATAGCAGTAAAACACAATCTGTAAGGCAAACTGTTGTAGTACCCAGTCTTACGTGGGGTGGACAGGGTCTTCTTGGAGTGAGTGTAAGATTTTGTTCTTTTGAGGGTTCTAATGAAAATGTTTGGCATGTTCTTGTAAGTATAAACATAATAAAAATACAAGAGGTTAAAAAACCTATAAAGTACAATAGAGTTTCTTAAATTGTCCATTTTAGGAAGTGCATCCATCCTCTCCTTTCATTCACAGATTATATTATTGGTGCTGATTCAGTTTTACATGAATCTGAAGATTTATTTACTTTGATAGAAACACATGAATATCGATCTTTAAAGTTGTATGTATATAATACAGAAGATGATTCTTGTAGAGAAGTTACAATTATACCCAACCATACTTGGGGTGGAGAAGGAAGGTAATATTGAAAAGTTTGTTAATCTAGTATTAATATCATGACTTAATATTATTATTGTAATTCACATCTCATATTTTATGCCTTTGTAGTTTAGGTTGTGGAATTGGATATGGATATTTGCATAGAATACCCATTAGAAATATTCAAGAGCATAAATCGAATAATTTGTACAAGGTATATACTCTCTTGATATTTTATGTGATATTTAGCAAAGTATTTTACATAGTAAATCCAGTTTCTTCTTTTTTAGAGTAATGTTAAATCTACTATTACAAAGCCAATTACATCAAATGCTACTCATACAGAAGGAAGTAATGTTGTTACAAACATACCGCCAGGTTTTTCTATTTCTCCAAATTACATTTCATCGCAGGAAAATATTACAAAATCTGAACTTGAAACTACTACAATGATGCAAAGTATGTATACACCAAGTGTTCAAACATACACTGCATCTCAATTGAATCCGGCTACAATTGGCGGATCTACTACTACTAGTTCTGTATCTCATGTTGCATCTAATCAAAGTGCTATAAGTATGACATATAGTAAGTATTCACAAATAGCCATAATGTTCAAGTAAGTAAATATAAAGACATTATTTGTATTTAGATAATGATCCTGTATCACATCAAAATACAATGCCGAATATACCTGGAATGCCAACTACTTCACCGTTACCAACTTTTACTACTAATACAACGATCTTGAATGAAGCAACTGGTATTGTTGGAATGACAAAAGATTTTACAACTGTACAGAGTGGCATGTCATCACCAATACAATACAATGTGCCTCAATCTCATATAGTAACGACACCTATATCGTTGCCCGGAATGCCACCTATTACTGTTAGTGCAAGTCTACCACAGAATACATCTTTCTGTTCACCTGCTCTTCAACAAAATGAATTAACCGGTGTTAGTACAGATCCTATATCTACAATACCATCAACGCAGTAACGACTATATTATTTCTAATGAAAATATCTGTTTTATAACAAAGTACATATTGAAAAATAAAAGTAAAATAAAGAGCGCAACCTATCTATTATAAATATATTGTACTACTGTACTGTATGCGTTTATACTTTATTACTTATTCAAACGCAATGTATACAAATTTTCAGATATACGAAGATAAATTATGTAATTCTGTACATAGATAAAGATTATTAATTATTTAGACTAAAACCAAACTAAAGCATTTAGAAAAAAGAAAGAAGTATTAAATCTTTAAATATTAACTAATCCGTCTCTGCTTAGTAATTTGTTGTTTATACTTGTAACTATAAATTTATTTTTTCAATCATTATAATTTAAAAAATATATATATAACATTACATATGTAACATTTATGTTATATAATTTACCTTTATTGTATAAAACTACAATTCTAGAATTGTTGTCAAATAAAGGAACAAAATACTTACATATAAATTAAATGGTTAATCTTTAAAATATTTAAATTAATATTATTTAATAATATTAAATAAATAGCATTCAAAATATAAAAAGTATAAACATTCATTTTTAGTGCAAATAATACATTGCTTAATAATTATAAAACATTTTAAATTTAAGAAAGGGACCATATAATACTATAACTTTATATAAGTATTTATAAAATAACATTTTATTTAATAACTACAAGTGTTATTTATAATTAATACAGTGTTTTAACTATATTTAAATAATTATTTCTATACCAGCTAATTCCTCTTCACTCGGAAGAGTAAACTTTGATGGATCTACTATATTTGGATCAATTAATGGCAAACCATGTTCTTCTTTGTAACGAATTTGGAGAAAAGCTTCTCGCTGAGACCAGTCTTTTAGACGTGGATCTGGCATATATCCCAGAACAAATGATCCACATACCAAACAAATAGAGATAGAAACAAATAATGTTAAATGCATGGCTTGACGATCAACTTTCTTATCCTTGTCATCAAATCCAAAACTAACCCATGTACTTTTTACTTCATATGTATCTTCTATGTCAGTTTTTTTTTGTGGTACATTACTGTAAAATGCTTTATTATATATTTTAACTTCTTTTGATGTTAGGAACGTTAATCCTCTTTTAATTCCATGAGAACGTACGAGTCGTAGTAACATTGACATTTTTCTATAATAAATAATTTTATGTTAAAATGTTGTTTCTTATGTATTTCTTAATTTTGTATGAGTTACTAATGTAACGTAACAATCACAGAAGGCAAAATTAGGATAGTATGCATGCATATGTATAAATGACCACCAACCTTACAGGTTAGAAACTTGAAATATAAGGTGTGTTCTAAAAATATAAGTTGACACTTTAAAGATTGTATGATAAGGTGCCTTAACTTAAAATTTTTAAAATTAATTATTAAGTTGAAGTTTGTTATATGTAATATCTGCTATTTCTTTTTGAATTTTGGAAATATACAATATGTAATTTCATGCATATAATATGCAGAATATAACTATGATCTAGAAACTTTGGTTTTTTTAAGTAAATCAAGATAATAATACTATTTAAGAAAAATACAATAAATCATTAAATTGTTTAGAATTATATTTACTATCAAAACCTAAATTTATTTCTATTTGAACTTTAATAATCAAATTTATAAATTATATAGATACTATTCATTTAGAAGTTCTAAATCCTAGTAACTTAACACGTTCGTTTTTTGAAAGCATCATTGTTTTATATAAATGCCAGAGTTAAAACTACTCATTTTTTAGTATAAATTCGATACCACTTTAATATTATAAAATATAGAAATGTATTAAAAATTGAAAATAATGTAATAATGTTTAATTGTATAAATACTTAATAAATATCTATAACAATTTGTGTATGTATAATTCATTTTAATTGTAGAAGACATTTGTAATATTTCTATTTTTAACGTAACACTCGAGTTGAGTTCAGTTTTAAGGATATAAAGTAAAATTTTTCAATTACGAATCGGTTTAGCAATAGTATGAACAAAAATGATTTTGATTCAATTTGTTTTGTTTAATATAGTAAATTTTAAATATATATTGGAATTTATCTTTTGTATTTTCGCTTATGCATATTATATTATAATTTTATGAACTAACACACAATTCAAATTAAATATAACTTTATTTTAATGTATTATGATGTTATAATTCATTTATTTATTTAATACAATATTTTCCTTGTTACATATGTCTTCATCCGCATCAATTGTAGACTGAAATATCTCTTGCCATAAAAGATTACTTAAATCTTTTGTATTTTCATTTGTATAAGAAAAGTAATGAATATATTTTCTTCTATATGACACATCTATTATTACTATTAAGGTTATATATATTACTTATTAAATGATAAATATCATATAGATTAAAAGGATACATCCTGCTACATTTTCTTTAAGTTTTTCATAATCCCATCGTATTCCAGTTAATTCTTTATACAATGAAACTTTCCTTCTATAATTACAAAAAGTTATAAAATTTTTAGAGCATACAAGTACAATAAAAAGATAAATTACAACAAGTTACAAACCTTCCTTGATTCAATAATTTTTGATCTTGTAAGTTTCTCTTACATATTTTAAGTTTATTTCTCTGCAATTCTAATGACAGACTTTCTTCCAAAAATTTATTTTTTTCTGCTTCTAACTCTATCTACAAAAATATTAGATTTTAATTCCTACATTTTGTAATGAAGAAATATTTACATTAAATACATAAAAGCACAAATATATATAAGTAATTACTGAGTAATCCAAGTGTTTAGATAAAACATGATTCTTATATTTCAATGTTTGTTCTTCAGAATGGAGACTTTCCCTCATACAGGTTATTTTTGATGTCAAATCTTTGATTTTTATTTCATCCTCTAAAAACAAAATATCTTTATTTGTATACAAAAGATAAAACAAATAATAAAGTAATGAAATACCAGTCAAATGTTGATTCTGTTTATTTTTAACATGATTGATTAATTTAACTTGATTTTGCAATAAATCTTTAACTTGTAAATCTGTTATTTTTATATATTTTTCTTTAAGCATTATTATTTCATCCATTATTAAGCTTGCATTAACATTATTTTTAAAACATTCGGTAAAAAAAACATAACTGTAAACACAAAACTCCCATATCAATTACTTTTATTTGTAAAATTTAAAGTGTTCTATGCATTGCTGCCAACAATATTATCTAAATATACTAGGAAAATAATCGTAAGACGGACTTACAAGTAGAGTGCAAGTCCTTCGGGTCATCGATTTAGTTAAAGACTTTGCAGGCTTGAAGATATCGTTATACAGTTTAAGAAAATATATCATTATAATCGCAACTACTCAATAATTTTTGAGATATTTACAAATAAAGTTTTATTACTTCAGTATTATATATTTATTCCCAAAAATTTTCAAATGAAATAGTAACGTAATGGTGACAACCGAGAATTATTATACTGGAGGACGGGGGTTCGATTCCCGTCCATAGTTTTTTCAATTTATTTGTATTTATTTTTCGCGTATGAAAATATTGTAAATAAAATTTCTTAATAAAAAATTCTATTTTTTACGTTTTCTTATGCTAGTACATATTTATTACAAAATAATAATAATATTATGAAAGAAAAATACTTTTCTATAGCAATCTTGTTTACTACAGGAAATACAAAACCTATCGCTCATGTAAGTATTAATTATTAAATTAAACATCCTATAAGAATGTTGCCTATAATTCCAACTTTGCCGTGCAGCTATAAATTTTCCTGAATTAATTACAAAAACTTGGCAATTTATTAATTTTCTACTGTCGAATTGATTTCTAGTATCCAGTTC